CTTCTGATAGGGATAAGCTGTTTTGCATACTTTTTTTAAAAATTTTGTTAAAAGTACAAGTGGATAATAGTAAAGATGACAGGCCAGAGTATGTACCAAAACAGGGAGTGTAAGAGTTTATATTATATAGAATAGTATATTTATCTAAGCTTTTTATTTTTGCTCTTGCTCAGATATAATTTAATAAAAACTTTCTTGGTTGTTATTAAAGTTACTTTTTTGATAGCTCTATAGACTTTTACCAGAGAGCCAAACTCACAAAAAGCTGTCTTTTTCAACTCTATTTTATAGTGCTTATATACAATCTGAAGCTCTTGAACTCAAATGCTATTTGGCAAAGTTTTGTTATAAAAAAATATACTAACTACACAATATTTATAGATTGGTATTATTGAAATTTTTGGTGTAAAAGATCATCAGAAAAAGTTGTTCTAATTTGTATATTTATTTTGAATTATAATATTTTGAATCTCTGTTTTATTTAAAAAAAATATACTTATATATATCATTAATTTTTTCTAGATTAACCAAAATTTCTCTAGGTTATACAAATAAAAAATTTGTTCTGTTCATTTTTTAGAATTACAAGAATACCAATAATTAGTCAGATGATAAAGTTACATATACATTTTGCCAGATCTTTTTAAATAAACCTTCATAAATGCATATCCTCAAGTGCTAGCCCAAATATATAATTAACTTCATAAATATATTTTTCTTATTATTCTCTATATATATATTATTAACAAAAACGTGCACTTAGAGTGTGGCGACTTAGTGAAATGGTGGAGTTGTCACATCTTCAGATGGCAGGTTTAGAGTTCGAATTCTACAGATGACATTTTCAAAAAATAGCTCTGTGATATAGTAATGGCTATCACAATTAGTTGAATCCTAATCTGTAACCTTGGTTATACCATCTTGAATAGGAGCTTTGACGCAATAAATCCAAGAAACTGAAATAACTAAAAACCCGTTTGGCAAGTCTCAAGTTAGGAAGTAGCAGCAATCTTTGATAGTACTATAGAAAAACTAAATTTGGAACTGAAAACCAAGATCAGAGAACTGAGTGACCAGATTCTTAAGTGGGGGGCACACTAGCCAAACTGCTAGCCTGCTATTGGAGGAAAAAGACTTGTGTTCCAGAAGCATGTACCAAGGGGAGAGAGACTATAAAGCACCTAAAGCCTGGGCAGACCAACTCTTCCTGGTTGCCAGTTAGAAATAAGGAAGAGACTGATAAGAAATTTGGAAAAAGAAGGTAGTTGGAATATGGATACTAAGACCATTGTGAACCTTGCAAAGGCAGAAGTACGTAAGTGGGAACTAATTAGAAAGGTTGTAGCTTGAGATATAGATCAGGTTACAGTAGTATCTGAAAGGATAGCTTGAGATATGAACCTGGTGGCAGCAGCACAACATGTACTAGTTGGAGAAAGTTACTGAATATACAAGTAAGCACATGTGTAGAACATGTACCGCTCTGTTAGGTTTACAACAAGGATAAATGCTCTAATATGGTTTGGCTAAAATCTTAGGGTCATTTCAGCAATGGCTAATCCTATATGGGTGTTAGGATAGGGCGTGTTACAAAAATAGAAGCCAGAGGATTTAAATAGGTAACCTCCTAGTTGGGTTATAGATATGGCAGCTAGTGTGGAACCTAGGGCAGACTACTTAAATAGGCAACCAAAAGTTGCATGTATAGCTTGTCATACTTTTGTTAATAATAACCAGAGAGCTTAAATAGGTAATCTCCTAGTTAGATTGCAGGTATGGCGGCTAGTGTAGAACCCAGGCAGACTACTTAAATTAGACACTCAAAAGGTGTACATGTAGCTAGTTGTATTCTCGTAAAATGGATGTAATATTATAACTATCTAAATAAAGCTCATGCCAATAGTCTAAGTGGTTATCTTTAATATTAAAAAAAAAAAAAACAAGGGTGTGCACTTAGAGAGATCTGACTGAGAATCATTAGGCTAATACAATATTCTTACTAAGTCCCTTTCTAATATTTTATCTTCTTAGCTATGTTGATTAGACCAATCCTCGAAAGATTAGAAACATATTTTACAAGTGCTTCTATCTTTTCTTTTACTATTCAAGAAGTTATGATGGTGTTTTTCAAAGTGCTTTGCTAAATACTTTGCACTTTCTTTCTCCAACCTAAGTTAATCAGACAGAAGATTTATAATATAATAGTATTTTTATTACTTTTATTTTTCCTGTTTGAATAAACAATAAAAATGATATTGTAATATATTATTATTGATAATACTAATTAAATTTCATTATTTTTTTTTTTTTTTAAATATTAAGGTGACCACTTAGGCTCCTGGCACGTAGCTTTATTCAGATAGTTATGATATTACATCAATTTCACAAGGATACAACTAGCTACACATGTATTTTTGGTATCTAATTTAAGTAGTCCACCTGGGTTCTACACTAGCCACCATATCTGCAACCTAACTAGAAGATTATCTATTTAAGCTCTCTGATTATTTAACTAACGAGAGTACGACTAGCTATATATACAACTTTTGGTTACCTATTTAAGTAGTTTGCTCTAGGTTCCACACTAGCTGCCGTACCTGTACCCAACTATGAGAGATACTTATTTAAATTCTCTGGCTCTATTTCTGTAACACATTTACTCTAACAACACTCTTAATGAGATTAACAATGCTGTAGAAGGACCTTAAGACTTTAGCCACATGGGCATTTATCCTTGTGATAAACCTAACAGAATAGTTATGTCCTACACATGTACTCACCTGCATGTTCGGTAACTTTTCCCAACTAGTACATGTTGTGCTGCCACTACCGGGTCCGTATCTCAAGCTATCTTTTCAGATTAAATTTTATTATTATAGTATTGTATCTTTATATTCAATTAGTATAAGTGATACAAGTTTATTCATATCTTGAATAGCATCAAGATCTTCATTTTTGTATGCCTTATTATGAATTTTTTTTTGGCCTTTTAAAACATTTAAGTATTACCAAAAATTCACTGAACTAAATAACTAATAAAATTTTTAATCTGTCTTTTGTTATTATTACAGAATTGTATAAAAAAGAATGATAAATTTTAGGTATCACAATTAGTGATTGGACCTGGATAGGTGCCACCTGGGTCATCCGCGGGTGGACAGGTGACCCGGGTGAAGTTTTGGCCACCCGGGTGGAAGCAGGTGGGTCACCCAACGGGTGACCCGTGAACAATAATAGTGATTTTAATCTAAATATGCATTTGTATGTATATTAATTGCCTTTTTTTTTCTTAAAAAAATAAAACTTTCAAAATGGGTTTTATATTAGACTAGACACTCATTCAATGAATCAGAGGTAAAATTTTAAACGTTACCATTTTGATAAAACTTCTAACCGATCCAAATAAAATCACTATTTTATTTTTATATAAATTTTAGAACAACTGAAAAAATTGCCGATGACCGAATTGATAAGTTATCGAGTCAGAATCAATAAGTAACCGACTTCTGAAGCTTATCGATTCGGTCATTGGCAATTTTTTCAGTTGTTCCGGAATTTATGAAAACAGCTGTAATACTTTATTCTCACCCAGATGACTCATGAATCTACCCGAAGGGTTGCTTTTTTAACCCATCTGGGTTCTACCCGGGTGGCTCATGGGTCCACCCGCGGGTGACTCGGGTGGCATTTTTTTTGACGGGTCCAATCACTAGTCACAATTTTTAAAATTAAAAGTATTACTTGGAAATACATAACTTTTAATAAGGTATTCAAGAGGATATTTTTATTTTCTCGCATGATTTTTATTTAGTGGGTATTTGACAAATAACTAATTCATTTTAATTTTGTGATTATAATTATTTGAACATCTGAATCAGTAATTAGTCTAGCATAGTGAAACTTTTCTAAAAACACATATTCTAAACCAGAATTTAATGACATATACTTAGAATAATAAGAAAAAGTGCATTTATGAAGATTATATATAGAGATTGTATTTGTTAAAAAAATCTCTACCAGGTAATTTATTATAGGCATAATAAAAATGTTTACTTGGTACAATTTCTAGTTATATATATATTTAGATCAAAATTTGTGTATACATTAGAAGGTGTGTATACTTATAAAAATGTGCTTAGAAAGGTTTTACTATATCGATCTTTAAGGGTTAATTAAGATCATAGTCACTTTATAAAATAAGGTCTAAAATTTTCTCAAGATATATATTAACCAAATCATTAAAAAATCATCTAGAAATAAAAAGATATTTTTTAATTAATTTTCTAGAGAAAAAAATCTTAAAATAAAATAGTTTATTAAAATAAAAATAACTTTAAATATATTTCTGTATTTTATCATAATCACTTAATTTTTAAATTTATTTAACTTGATTAATAATAATAATAATAATTATAATAATAATCATCATAAGTACATCACTATTATTATAAATAATTATCAACATTTTTTATTAAAAATATTTAAGTATAAAATTTAGTATTCCAAAAATATAAAAATATAAAAACTTTAAAACATTATATAGACCCTATAACCTTCAATTTTTTAATAATTTTTTACAAGTGAAGGTTCTTGGTTGCATTGAATAAATAATCTTAAGTTATTTATATTAAAAAGTTACCAAGCACTTTATTTAATATAAAGTAAACTTTACCTTGCATTAAGCTGATAACAATTTTCAATTTCAAGCTTATAATATGAAATTCTCTTAATGATATACTTTGGGTTTAAAAAATAATTTCATTTGCAATATTGAAACGCAAATTGAAACAAATCATGATAAGCAGAGAAAAAAGTAATTAAGTTATTAGTCAATTGATGTTAAAATGTATAGATTGTATATTAAAATAAATAAAAATAAGATTAGCATATTATATCTTTCTATTAATAGTTATCTGCTTGATTTAATAAAAACAAATTTTTCTTAATAGCAAATGCTCTATTGATTATAAAGTCAAATTATTAGTAAAAAGTATAAAATAATGATCTAGTATTACTTTATCTTATCCTATATTTGATGATCTTTTTACTTACATTTAATTTTATATTTAGTTAGCTTTTTATTTTCATTATACAAGATTCAAAGTATTGCCAAGAAAGTCCTTGAGATTCATGCTATTCCTCTTTTAGTAATTGATAAACTAATTACTATGATTTCCAATAATAGCAGATGTAGAATTGATGGAAATACTTTTCAATTAGAGTTCTTGTTTTGCACCAATTATAAAGTATAATATAAAGAATTGTTGTATCTTGAGTATAAATTATTCAAAAAGAGAATCTTTTCAATGGAAAACTTTTGTGTCTATATAATGAAGGGCAAATGTGAAAAGAGAATTGATTCATTTTTTCAATAACTTGTGTGTAAAGAGAATTAATTTGTTTTTTCAATAACTTGTATATAAAGGGAATTGGTTTATTTCTTCAATGTCTTGTAGTATCCAAAGTTCTATAATAATTATGTAAAAGAAAATTTATTTCCTATGTAAAACTATAACTGCAAGAATTCTTAAATGTATTTAAGCCTTGACTTTTGCTTTAATAAAGTTTTTTCTTAGACTTTGATCTACCTAATAAAACGCAATTTAAATTAATATTTAATAAATAATTAAATGAAAGCAACTTATATAAATCAAATTCACTACTTATTTTCTATCATGTAACCTTTGTCTATAATCAATCTGTCTTTCTTTTTATCATTTGCTAATTCTATTTTAATACAAACTTTATATAATATTTGTAAAAAATACTTAAAATTTCAAACAAATATAACTTTCACTATAAAAATGTTTAAATAATATAACATGTGTATTAATAGTAATATGCCTAGTAAAAGAACCCTGATAAGAAATTCAAAACAAGAATAGCTTGTTAGAAAGATTAATTCAAAATTAGAAGTTTTGGTTCTGTATAGTCACCTCAAAGAAGTCTCACTTCTCAAAGAGTACACTTGCCAATTCTCCAGGTATTATTATTATAAATCCAAAACTGGTAAAGAAAATTAAAACTCTTTATTACTTGGATATTTAGTCTATTTTCGAATATTAGAAAAAATTTAGAAATTTAGTATTTTAAATAAAAATGATTATCTCAAATTTAAGTGGTATAATTATGATATTGATTCAGATTTTAGCTAGCCAGATGAATGAGGCTTTGATAATTGTTGTTTTGAAAAAAAATTTGAAGAATTCAATCCTAATAATTCATGCTCTTTTTACTACTTTCTTGAATTCTTGGAAACTAAAAATATTACTTTATTACAAGTGGCTATTACAGTGTATTATCTAGATCTTTTTTCTAGTAATCAACAAATATTAGATGCAATAAACCAAGAAAACAGATTGTAATCTAGTATAAAAAGAATAAGTGAAGAATTAAGTATAATGCTAGATAATATTTTATTATCAACTAAAATTCCAATAAAAGAAAGCTTATTATTTAAAAAGTACAGTAAAACCTTATCTCTACAGGATACTTAAACATTGATACTAGAATATAAAAAAAGTCAGACCAAAATTTACACTCTCAACCAAAAAATCAGTAACTTATAAAAACACATAAAAGAATTAGAAAACAAAACAAAAAAAAAAACTATAATTCTAGATAAGAATAACTTGCTAGAAACAAATATTGACAATGCAATAAAATTTGCTAAACTTGGTTCTATGATACTAGTTTTTACAAAACAATATTTTTCACTAGTATTTATACAACTCTGTTCTAAATGCAATAATAATAGCCTTATAAATAAATCTTGGAATATAATACCAATCAGATTTAAAATTAAAAGTACTATAAAGTATATAAAATATGCCGCTATCTCTGAATATACAAATAAAACAAAAGAATTTTCATTAACAAATACTATAGCTGCTGCAGAACTTGTGGGAGGAGTATTCTGCAATACAATACAGAGTTTATTAGTCATAATAGAAATTACAAATCAAACAAGCAATAAAATATATTATAAATACTAAAAAATATATTTTGCACCCTTATAGCTAATACAAATTCTTGTACAAGAGAAGCTTTGCAAAAATATATTGAACATATATTGTTATAAGGCAAAAAATCTTTAGCAGTGGGTTTTAATTGTTCATAATCTCATATATGAAATGCAAATCAGACTAGTGATAAGCTTATATTTCAAGAAATTCTACATGGTAAAATAATTTACATATTAGTATTTACTCAGTTCAAAAATTAGTTAATTTTAATTCTATTTTATTCTCACAAACTGATTATCATATTTCATATAGTTGAAAAGACCAGATTTGTAAAAAATAATAAGAGGTTTGTCAAAATGATTCATCAAAGTAATTTTGACAAATCTTCAAGATATAAGGAGCATGCTATTCTGATTGAAGTTTAAAACAAATTAGTTTATCATTAGAAGAAACTGATTTACACTTAGATATATATATCGATAATAATTTAAATTCAAAAAGGACTTTTGCAAATGTACCTATTGTCACTAATATTTATGTGGACCTAAAACATTTAATATATAATATTAAAAACTTTTTGTGAAGTATATAACTGCTTTATTTGTTTTTTTTTTTTTTAAAAAAAAAAAAACAATAATAATAAAAATAATAACTTTTGTATCTTTTTGTTAGACAAAAAAAATATTTATTTCTATGCATTTGAAGATCACATTATATCTTGGTTTCATGGATGCATTTATTCTGCTATATTATGAAAAGCTACCCAAGATTCTCTTGCATCAACTGAGGAAGAAATGCATATTTTGCAGGTAAAAGAACTTATTTATCACTTACAAAATGATCATATACGATGTTGATTGAATATATGCTAGACAAAAGATAATCCAGAAATTATTTTGCAAAAGCTAACTCTTTGCTATTTGTTTAATAGCTAAATAAATAAATTTTAGAAGCTTCTTGAAACAATTTACTATGTACCTCATAGCCAAAGAATTGTTATATTAAATAGAATATCCCAAAATAAAGTATTCAATAGAGTAAAATTTGTTTATGCAGACAAAAAAATTAATTATTGGCAGTCATTTGCTGCATATTATGCAATGGCTATATTGCATTATAATAAGAGATATACTTATTTACTTTCTGAGCTTCGAGAAATATATTGTGAAAAACTATTCAAATTAGCAAACTTGCACAATATTAGTGTAATGGAAGTTGTGTATTTTGTAAAACAAAGATGGAATGTAGAAAGAATACAGTAATATAATATAACATAAGCCAAAAAATTTGCAAATAAGTGCAAAGAATTAGCAGGTTTTGATTTTAACTAGGTAATTAATATAATGTTATATTATTAAAATTCAAAATTTACTTTTATTTATATACTAATAATTCAATATACATGATTTAGTTCACTATAAAGATTATGCATTGAATTGACTCAGTAATAATAAGTTTTATCTCTTTTTTGCTCTACTGATTACCAACTTTGATGTGATTATATGGTATATTTGTTGCAAGGTTTTTTCAAAACACTCTAAAGGCTTGTACTCATTGTGTTATACATACTATCAATTTGGTTGGGGCAGCAGGTTTATAAATAAAAATATAATGCTACAAGAAGAAATAAGTAGACCTATTAGCTTAGAAAAGTATATTAAAATAGTTGCAAAAAAAATTTTCAAATTTATTAAGTTTAGACCTGGACAATTGGATGCAATAAAATACTATATAGAAGAAAAAAAGGATACACTTGTCATTATAAAGACTGGTAGAGGAAAATCCTTCTGTTATACTGCTTTTTCTATTCTTTTTGATGATTTTACAATTGTCATTTCTTTATTAAAATCTTTGATCCAAAGCCAAGTAGTTAGTGTAAAAATTAAAAAGTTTAAAAATTTTTTTTTTATATTGCCGAATTGCCATAACAAGCAAACTTTATTAGAAATAACATTAAATATTATTATATTTATATTGTTATATGCTGCAATACATTTCTAGATCTATGAGAGTACATCAAACTACACGTACACCTTTTGGGTGCCTATTTAAGTAGTCTGCCCAAAGGTTCTATACTAGATGTCATACCTATAACTCAACTAGAGAGTTACCCATTTAAGCTTTCTGATATCCCTAGTCCTGCACTGCCCTGTTTGGTTCAAACCGTCTCACCTCATGCTGCACAAAGACCACCCAGGCTGGCATTCTCCCACTAACTTTTACCTCTTTATAGATAAACCCTTCGAATCTAATCAACCAGTATTTACCCAAGGAAGGGTGCAGTAGATGCCTCCTAATTTCTTCTATGTCCTACATATTTCCAGATTTGGTTTAGAGATATTGCACTATGGCTTTATCTGTATACTAGCAAGCCCGGTTACCCAAGCCGCATATATCCCCTGCTTTTGTAAGGTTCATTTCTACCCCAGTACCCACATTCGAACTTTCTTTTTTTTCTGGATTCTTTATCAGTCTCTCCCTTGTTTCCAGCTGGCAACCCAGAAGGGTTGGTCTGCCCAGGCTTTATATACCTTATAGTCTCTCTTCCCTTGGTACATGCTTTCAGAGCACATGTCCTTTTTCTCTGATTGGCGATCCAGCAGTTTGGCTGGTATGTCACCCACTTAAGGACCTGGTCACTCAGTTCTCTGGTCTCAGTTTTCAGTTCCGAATTCAGTCTTCCTATGACACTGTCGAAAGTTTCCACTACTCCTTACTCGGGTCTTCCCAAATGAGTTTTGATCATCCCGGTTTCTTAGCATTTATACACCGAAGCTTTCATAATGAGATAGTGCAACCAAAATCGTTGTCTGTGGGATTTGAACTATAGATGCTGGTGAAATATAGTGAAATGTGGTGAAATAATTTCACCACTATTGGTGAAATTGGTAGTGAATTGGTGAAATTGGTGAAATTAATTTCACCAGCATCTATAATTTGAACTCTAGACCTGCCGCTTGGAGGGGTAACAACTAGACCACTTCACTAAACTGCTACACCCTGAGTTTAAAATTAAAAGTTAAAATTAATAATAAGTGCCTAATCAATTTGCCTTTAGAATTACTTTATCAAATTAGGAATTTCATATAGTAGACTGACTTTATTTTAAGAGACAATTAAATCTAAATCAAAATTTTTAAAGAGATAGCTCTTAGATTTACTTGTTTGCTTTATATAATACCAAAAAAACTATTGCTTAATAAATCTTTTAAAAAGTTATGTGGTTGATTGCATAATAAAAAAAACTACAATTCATGATTAATGAAGCTTATTGCATTTTTGAATTTTGCTATTTCAGGTAAGAGATATAGAATAATATGCTAAAAATAGTCTTTAAAAAATATTTTTAAAAATAAGTAAAAATTATAAAGAGAGGAATAGGAAAAATTAGGTATACTAAAAAAAAATTTTCCTGATATTCGGATAATGGCCTTAACTGCAACTCTATTTTGGGATAATGCATATACTCTTAGAGATAATTTAAATATTAGTAAAGATCATTTTAAAATTGCAAAAGTTAGTAATCTACTATGCAAGGAGTTACATTTTTCAGTTTAAAGCTAATATAATAATAATTTGGTATAGACAAAGCAAGTAATAAAATTAATACAAGATATAAAAGTTGGCTATGCAATTATTTATTATGCATGAATTAGAGATTGTAATTAAGATTATGAGGCATTAAATCTAAAGATAGAAGAAATAGAATTAGACATATACTATAGAAAATTACAAGAAGACAAAAAAATAGAGATACTTAAAAAATAGAACCAAGATCAAACATGTTTAATGATTGTGATATTAGCATTTGGTATGCCTAATATTTGCCTAGTTCTGTATTATAATTTTTTGATAAATATAAGTAAGTATAATATTACTTAGTATATATAACCTTAATTAAAGAACAATACTTAGAATTTTTAAAAATAGCCAGTCTAATTTAATGCTCTGGATAGGCCAGGCATAATCAACTAATTTCAAAATATATTGTTCTTTATTCTGAGAAAGATATCTATATTAATTATATTATTGTCACAAAGGATAAAGAAAGATATCATTATTATTATTATTATTATTATTTGAATTACAAATCTTATTAAACTATATTAATTGTAGTACTAAAAGTGATAATGAAAAAACCCTTGACTAAAAGCTATATCTAGCTAAAGCATGGTATAAGTTGTTTAAGGTAATGCATTATTGTTTTACTTTATATAAGTACCAGTTTTAGCTAATATCATGATATCATGCATAGCCAAATAATCAAATTTCTCCCAGATTGTAATTTGTATAACAACTGTATTAGGCATAGAGAAGATAATGTAATATGTATTGATATAAAGTTAGAAATTTTAAAAATATTAGAGATTGTCATAGTATTATGTGAGAATAATGATAAACAGATTATACTTGTAAATGTTGTTAAAGTTTTTTGTTATTTAATAGGTGCTCAACTTCGAAATAGAGAATTAAATTCTCTAGAATTTGTTAATTGCCCAAAACCTCAGATTCTATACACAAAACTATTAGCTAAACTAATATTAGCAGATTTGGTTTGTTGAGGCTTTGTAAAACAAACAATTTGGCTAGAATAAAAGGCTAATAAAACTTATTTAATATTTAATATACTTATAGAGTATGTGATAAAAAATACAAATTTACTTGCAGAAAATGAAACTTGGTTATACTAGATAAAAAAAAATAAGAAAATTTTTTGAATTTGTATTATTTACTATTTTACTATATTATACTTATAATTTATATATAACGATAATAAAACTTTAGTTCAAGTGTTCAAATACAAAATTTTATACTATTTAATATTAAGAATTATAATTTGGTGCACCGTGCACCATGGTCACCCTGATCATGGGGTATAAATAGTAATTGTCAACTGATCAAATCAGTTGAATTTTTTTTTTTTTTTTTTAACGCGTTATCTAGTCACTAATATTTTTTTTTTTTATAATAACAAGTTCAGTTTGTTGTCATCGCTGGTATCATCGTTACCAGATTCTTCATTTGGAATCGGTGTCGTCATCATTACCAGAGCCGTTGTTTGAGTTGGTGTCATAGTTTCGGCTTCGTCGTTGGTGCCTTAGTGAATTATGTGTCGCCATTGTTGGTGGGAATTTGTGTTATTATCGGTACGTCATTTAGGTGTCACTTATTCTTTGTTGGTATTGTCTGTCTTGGCTGGTGAAGCAGTCTGTGGTACTCTTCTTGTTTTGAATGCATTACTAATAGTTCTT